CCCAGGAGTCGGGTTTCCGGAATTCAAGTTCCGCCCCGCTAAGGCTTCCGAGGATTGTGTTCACCGGAGGCCGAACGGGCGACGCCCAGAAGCTGATTCGAGTTTCACGCCACTCGCGCGCCGAGGAGCCCGGGTTGTCTCGCAGATAACAGGCGCTGAGAGCCCCAGAAGGACGCCATCTACGGCGGCCCGCCGCGCCAGGCGTGTTCGGGTAGGTTTCTGCCTTTATATTCTGTCCAATGGGCGCCGGGGCTCCATCCCCCGCGCTTGGTGCTCGCTTTACAGGTGACAGCTGCCACCAGGGAGCGGAAATTCTCCACCACCGCTCCCCCCACCCCCCAATTCCATACGCACACCCCAGAAATTAAAGGCGCAGTGCCCTGCTGCCGCTCGGCTCCGGCTCCGGTTGCTAGGTGGGTGTGTTTCCCAGGAATGCCGCAGTCGACCCACAAGGAGCTTAGGATTTTATTCCTTTAAGAAATATTTACCACAAAATGCCGGGCGATTATTTAAAAACAGCCCTTTCTTTAAAGACTATCAGTGCCTCTCCAATAGTCGAATGGCATTCATACTGGCTTCATGCAATTGGCAGCAAAGACAATTCGCTGTGCGTGGCAATGTATGTTACACGAGGTTTAGAGGAGATGTTTTAAAAAAGCAATTTTCTGATGAAGAAATAATACATTTTCTTTTTAAAAAAATATATTTTATTGATTTTTTTATAGAGAGGAAGGGAGAGGGATAGAGAGTTAGAAACATCGATGAGAGAGAAACATTGATCAGCTGCCTCCTGCACACCCCCTACTGGGGATGTGCCCGCAACCAAGGTACATGCCCTTGACCGGAATCGAACCTGGGACCTCTCAGTCCACAGGCTGACGCTCTATCCACTGAGCCAAACCGGTTAGGGCAATAATACATTTTCACATCGGATTTTGGGGAATAAAACCACAGGAAAACATAACGAGTAAAAAATATCCTTCGAAATCACCATTAACATTTTGAAATATTTTTATTCTCCCCCATATACGTATATACATGTTTATGCTTTATAATAAGAATGTGAAATTGAAATATGCTATGTTTTAAAAACTTCATTTAATCCACAAATATTTGTTGAGCACCTTGTATGTGCCAGCACCTTTTTGGGTTGTGATACCTCAGTTAGCAAGACAGTTAAAAACCCCTGACCTAGTGGAGCTCACGTGGTGGTGGAGCTGGGCAACAGAAGTCATATGATGAATCTGGAAATTGTATAACATGCGAGATAAATACTATGGAAACAACGGAGTAAAACAGAGGAGGGGCAGGTTGCAATTAAGCAAGGACTTGAAGTGATGGGCAAGTTCACTAGCTAGGTGGCAGAAGAAGGAACCACCAGGGCAAAGGTGGGGTCAATTTCTTAATTTACAAATAGAATACTACAAATAGCCAGCACCGGTTTGCCTCAGTGGATAGAGCATCAGCCTGCGGACTCAAGGGTCCCAGGTTTGATTCCGGTCAAAGGCATGTACCTTGGTTGTGGGCACATCCCCAGTGGGACATGTGCAGGAGGCAGCTGATCGGTGTTTCTCTCTCATCGATGTTTCTCACTCTCTATCCCTCTCCCTTCCTCTCTGTAAAAAATCAATAAAATATATTTACAAAAAAAAAAGAATACTACAAATAAAACCAGAGGCACCATGCCTTAGTACTATAATTAGAGAGCAAGACTCTGGAGTCAAAATTCCACACTTGAATCCTAGCTCTACCTTAAGCTACTTGCTTGACCTCAGTTTTCTTGTCTGTAAAGGGGGTGACAGGAATAGTACAGTGCTTACCTCATTAGGCTGTTGTGAAGATTAAGTGAGAAAATAAACATAAAACAATGCTTGGCCCCCAGTAGACATTCCGATTATTGTCAGTAATGTAGCCACTATTATTACTACTTGTTGAAAAGAAAAAGAGAACAGTAACATGAGAAAGATCCCCCTTTCTCTAATCCCCAAAGGCCATTTCAGTCTTTAGAATGCATGTGATTTCCAGAATGCATGATTAATTGTTTTCCCCTCACTTTATATTTTATTGCAAGTATTTTCCCCAATGACAATATTCTTTACAAATGATTTTTTAAAAATATATTTTTATTGATTTCAGAGAGGAAGGGAGAGGGAGAGAGAGAGCTAGAAACATCAATGATGAGAGAGAATCATTGATTAGCTGCCTCCTGCACACCCGACACTGGGGATAAAGCCCGCAACCCAGGCATATGCCCCAAACTGGGAATCGAACCGTGACCTCCTGGTTCACAGGTCGACCACTGAGCTGCACAGACTGGGCCACTGTTATTTTTAACAAATTTTAGTGAATAGGCCAAAGGTTGACACTGTAGCAATTTTACCAACATAAATAAATATTACATGTCTACAACTATAATCTTCATATTTAAATCCAAAAGTCACTGCTGGTCAACAGTGTTCAGAGAATGACTAGCATGTGATCACACTGCATCACGGGAGGTAACTGGGCTATTGTCCCCTGGACTGACTTTCTGCAGCCGTTTTAAGGCCTACAGGCCAATGCTCAAGGTGACATTCATTTACTAGATCTATTCAGCATATATTTAAAACTGCTGTAATACATAGTGAAGTTTTCTGTGAAATTAAACTTTTACATATACTTAATTTTAATTACACAAATAGGTCTACAGAGGTAAAAACAGGTGGGCTAACTTGTCAAATGTTTCTTTTTAAAAAAAATACATATTTTATTGATTTCAGAGAGGAAGGGAGAATGAGAGATAGAAACATCAATTATGAAAGGGAATCATTGATTGACTGCCTTCTGCTAGCCCTACTGGGGGTCGAGCCCGCAACCTGGGCATGTGCCCTTGACTGGAATGGAACCTGGGCCAACACTCTCCCTCTCCCTTCCTCTCTGAAATCAATACAAATATATATATAACAAAAAATACAAAGCAAAACCACCCTGGCTGGTGTGGCCCAGTTGGTGGAGCATGGTCCTATACACCAAAGTTTGTGGGTTCCATCCTCGGTCAGGACACATATCTCGGTTGTGGATTCAATCCCTGCAATGGGAGGCAACCAATTGATCTCACTCTCCTCTCTTTCAAAAAAAAACAACAAAAAACCAACCAATAAAACACAAAGCCAAGACAAAACAGACAAAAACATCAGGCCTATTAACCCAAGGAAGTTTTATGTACAAAAAAGTACAAGACTTTGAACATTACTTGTAGAAAACATTTAATGGCGTTGAGTAAGACACTTTCTTGATTTAACAGCAAAGGTCTACTAATTTCCCGAGGTTTCACAAAAGGAAAAATATACAATGGACAGTCTGACTGTTGATAGGAAATCTGTACTCACCAGAGAAGGCTGGTTTGTCTTCATGATGGATCCAGGCTCCCCCATGGCTGCTGAGCTGTCTTGCTGGCCCACTCCTGACATGCAGACAGCCTGTGGCTTGCTCAAAACTGCAGTGGCTTTTGCCTCTGATTCCCCTTCTAGGGAGGAAGGGAGTGGATAGCCCCATCAGTAGAGAATCCTCTCTCATATCCATCCTGTTCCTAAATCTTTATACAGAAACACAAAAAGATGGAATTATTGACATTGTTGAACACTGTTACTGTTTTAAAAAAGTAATGCACTTGTGGATGGGGTGGTGTTTGTAGTTTCTATCAACATTTGAATAATTTTATCATCCACTATGGCTACCTTCCATAAGAACAGCCGGTGTCGCTCAGTGGCTGAGAGTCGACCTATGATCCAGGAGGTTACAGTTCAATTTCCAGTCAGGGCACATGCCCCGTGGGGGACATGTGGGGATTGAGCAGAAGGCAGCGGCCAATCAATGATTCTCTCTCATTACTGATGTTTCTATTTCTCCCTCTCCTTTCTTCTCTGAAATCAATAAAAATATATTTAAAAAAAAATGAATCAAATAATTCTTATGTGTTTTTTTAAAAGAAGAGGAATTGAAGTTTCTATGCATAAAAATTTCCATGCAATTTATGTCTTTTTAAATATGTATATATATTTTTATTGATTTCAGAGAGAAAGGGAGAGGGAGAGATAGACACATCAATGATGAGAGAGAATCATTGATCAGCTGCCTCCTGCACGCCCCCTACTGGGGATTGAGCCTCCAACCAGAGCATGTGCCCTTAACCAGAATTGAACCTGGGACCCCTTCAGTCCACAGGCCGCTGCTCTATCCACTTAATCAAGCCAGCTAGGCTTGACAAATGATTTTTAATGATCGCATCACATAAACATAGTATCACACTTTGTTTTTTTGTAGTGATAATCTATAATGTTTCTGGTTTTTAATTCTTATGAATAGTACTGCTTATATATAAAGCTTTGTTTTCATTTTTTATTCTTGAGGATAGAATCCTATTAGTAGAATTACTGGGTCCAGGGGAATTAATTATTTTTTAAAACTCTTGAAACTTATTGCTAAATTGTTTCCCAGAAAAGTTATAGCCCTATGAAAACACCTTGTCTTTCATCACTAGCATTGAGTAGTATCTTTTAATCTGTCCATTTGAAAAAAAAAATTTATCTCTAATTTCCATTTTTTAATTACTACTAAGTTAAGCTTTCCCCCACTTATTTATTGCCTATTTGGATGTGTTCTTTTGTGAATTGTCCATTTATTAATATTTTCTTGTTGATATGTGTTACTAATCCTTTATTACACACTAGAGGCCTGGTGCACAGAATTTGTGCTCTCGGGAGCGGGGGTGGGGTCCTTCAGCCTGGCCTGTGCCCTCTCACAGTCCAGGAGCCCTCGGGGATTGTCCAACTGCCGTGGAGGCAGGAGAGGCTTCCGCCACTGCTGCTGTGCTCGCCAGCCATGAGAGCACACTGACCACCAGGGGGCAGCTCCTG